CTTTTCTTACTCCCACCTTCTCACCATACTTCAGAGGGGCGTCAACGGCTCTCTCCACTTCTTCGTAGCAACCTCTCATACCCATCCTCTAGGTGGGCGGTGGCGGCTTTCCTCCTTGCGTCACGTGATCACGACTCGGCCAATGATGTCCAGCCGGGCGTGTGCGATCCAGCTGGCTTTGTTTCAGGAAGAAAAAAAAAGTATCTTGCTCAAAAAAAAATTATCTTTTTCTTTTCCTTCGTGTAAAGATGAGTTTTCATACCAGTAATACATTTTTGTAAAAATACTACCAACAATATTTTTTCAAAAAAATTTTACCAGCCATAAAAATCTTGTCGGTATTAAATAACACATTGAGGTTGATATGGCGTAAAACAAACGAAACCAAATAAACTTTTACCTACCCCAATACCAATAAATTAAAAATAGAAATTTTCCAGGGTTGTCTTAAACCGGAGAATCTACTTTATAAATAGATTTTTTCTTTTTTTTTTTTTTTTTTTTTTTTTGGGGGGTTATATTGTTAACAAAGGTTTGCAAAATATTACATAACCTTTTAATTAATTATCGAGTTTATTAAGTGTCTAAATTTCTGGCACTTGTCAACATAAGATCAGCTAGTGCCTGGCTCTTTCCCAGGTAAAATCTCCCACTCGATTGAAACGGGGTTAGACTTGGGTCTTAGCCCGGTGCCCGAGGTGACCCCCAACGATAATGCCAAAGGTAATGCACAGAGGGATTTGGCTATTTTTGAGACAGTGCTTCGTGATGGAGCAATCCACAACAGGGGGCTCGAATCTCGGCTTTCTTGTGTAAAAAATTAGACTCGGTCTCAACTTGAGTAAATACTTTAGAAAAAACTGGAAAAATATCTGAGCAGCAAGTAGCAGCATGTTTATTTCGTTGACCGCGTTTAAGAATATCGAATTAAATATATTAAATTTTATCTGTCTATATTTCTGAGATGAGGTATTATGTACACTATTTACATTATTCGGACTATTGTCCTCATCTTTGTCGCCATATTTATTACAATGTTTTCGGCCGTTGTACACTCTCGCCTTCTTCAGGTGGTTGGAATGTCGAACTGAACACTTTATTTCGCTCACTGTGGTAGACTGTTCTAGTTCCACGTGCCATGTTTAATGGATGTCAGTTATCAGTTATCGCCCGTTAATTCCACTCTCCAGGTTCTCCACTGCCTTAACCAGGTATTGAACTCACACTCTTTAGGTTCTGTCATTGGATCCAATCAACGCTTTTATCCACTGTGCTACGTGTCCTTGTGAGAGGACCCAAAGAGTGTGAGTTCAATACCCGGTTAAGGCAGTGGAGAACATGGAGAGGGGAATTAACGGGAGATAACTGATAACTGACATCCATTAGACATGGCATATGGAACTAGAACAGTCTACCCCAGAGAGCGAAATAAATGGTTCAGTTTGACATTTCAACCACCTGAATAAGATCGGAGCGTACAACCGTCGAAACGTTGTAAAAATATAGCGACAAAGATGAGGACAATAGTTCGAATAATGTGAATAGTGTATAAAATTTTATTATAACACATTAAATTTACGTAAAAACATTGTTAAATGGCTTTTTCATTAGTTTTGTAATAAGAATATAACATTTAGTTCTATTTTACACTTTAATGGAAATTTTAAAAAAATTAAACTAAACCTTAATACAATAGAATTCCTGACAACCGGACTAAGAAGATCTTCCGGATATGAGGAATTGGTTACAAAGTCCCGATATGAGGGATTTCGGATATTAGAGATTCCGGATATGAGGGATTCCGGATATGAAGGATTCCGGATATAAGGAATTGGTTACAAAGTCCGGATATGATGGTTTATATTTAGATTAAAATAAAAGAACTGAAATCATCTTTAACATTTATTTTCAGTTTTATAGTAAAAAAAATAAGCTAATGTCGAGTAAAATATAACGGAATTGATGTTAAGGTAAAAAAAAAATATGTAATGTTAATGAAATTCGTTAAATTATGTAAGCCATATATGCAAAACAAATAATGTAACGAGGATTTTTTAATCGCTGTTGCATGATGATTCTTTCTCTTCTAATGTCATTCTCAACTTTTCCCGCATTTCCTTTTCTTTTTATTCTTGAAATTATTTTAAAGACACTTTTTAACTATGCGTGCGTTATTGCAATGGTCATAGCTGAATGCTGGCTTTCTTTCCATAAAACTGACAACCTTTACAATAACTTTTTTCAATTTCAGTCAGGTGGCACATTCATGCATCTCTTGTTGCAGATATGTCTCGTTGTCATCCTTTCCTCTTATTCCCATCATCTTTTGCACCAGTACAAGCCATTAGGGGAAAATATGCCTAAGCAATTATCCAAAGTAAATTTCCTGAAAATCAGAAATTTCAAATAGTTCAAAATATATATACACATCAAAATCATGTCCAGATATGTGGCACTCCGGATATGAGAGATTCCGGATATGAGGGATTCTATTCTATTTGTTTATTTTACCTTAAAGAAAAACGCAACTAATAAAAAGTAATTCTATGAATGCATTTGTTATTTATTAGAGAAAATATTAAAGTCACTTTATGAAATAATAATGATAATTTCTTTTTATTAAATTTCGAAGAATAAATTTTAAAAACAAGCGGAGAAAAACGTCTTCGAAATGACGTACGTCCGTTACAAACTAGATATTAACTTTATTTTACATTATTTATTAGTGCCATGTTTTTTCTTTAATTTTAATAAGTAAATCATGACAGCTCAATCAATAACAAAAAGAAAATTCGGTAAAAAAAAAGAATCATACTTTTAAGTTTTCGAAACACATATACAGGGTGGGAAAAGAAAATTCCGATTTTTAAACGTAACTGTTTTTTTTTCCTTTTTAAAGAATATTGAATAAACTTTTAACAGAAAAATGTTGAGTCACTGACTAAGCTAATTTTTTTTACCATACTTTTCAAAAACTTTCCAGACATTCTAGAAAAATGAGTGAGCAGCAGGATTAATTTTGTTCATACTCACAGCGTTTTAAAATCTAAATAAATCGTTCACTCGCTAGTAAGTTACATTCGCCTGATGAGATGCATTTGATACGCATCAAAACACAACTGCAATTGTGTAGCGATTTGGACATGTTTTCGATGTAATATCTCAATATCCTGTATATATATATATATATATATATATATATGTGTGTGTGTGTGTGTGTGTGTGTGTGTGTGTGTGTGTGTGTGTGTGTGTGTGTGTTTTGTGGGGGTGTTTGTGTGGGTGTGTGAAAATCAAAATCATATCCCATGATCCTCAAAAGCGAACACAATTTAAAAATATGAATCACGTTAGCACAATTATAGTTATTTGGAATTTGCTTGTTTTATTCAACGAGAAAAACCGTTTACTATAGTTAGATAATGATTTCTCTGAAATAAATTTCGGAAATAAAATCAATTTTCAGACTGATTATAAATTTTAAGATAAATAAGTGATTTTACGTTAAAGAACTTATGCAAAATATGAATTCTAACCGCTAGAAACTAAGTTATAAGCCTTAGCAGCACATTGTGATTTCTTTTCATACGCATGGCATACTGCGTTAAAATCCATATACAATAAATGTATTTTGTGAATTGTCTTAACCTCATGGAGATTGTTTATCTGAAAATAAGTAAATCAAATTGGGTAGGATATAAAACTAAAACTATTTCTGATAGACACACTTATCACACTCACAACCATTATGTAGCACACGTGGTAGAGAAATATGAAATTGACAATAATATAAGACATCTCCACGTGAATAAATCAATAATACGCATGAAAACAAACTATAAACAAAGGACAGTTCTTTCGAACCTTCAGCAACAAGATACGTAAATTACCCGTTGACAACATAATAAAAACATATCTTGCTGGTTATCAAAACGTGTTTAAATGAATATTTGCTGTCGAGATACGCACAATATACGCACATAGATGTATCCACATATACATGTTTATACTTATATGAATCTGAAATGTTATCTTCAAGCGTAAGATCATTACGATGGAGAACTGGTTATCAACCAGCATTTCGTACATTGATTGCCAACTCAGATAAATCTTCCTCAAAAGCAAGGCAACAGCCATAAACATGCAAGGGATTACTGCGTGTGAAAGAATATAAGAAAAACAGGAATTAAGAAGACAGAAGATAACTATTGACATTGCATTTAAATTATTAAAGAAAGTTTTTGGAAGAGAGTTCCACAAACAAGAAGTACCAGAAAAGAAATTAACGGTTACATCTAGCAATTTCGACAATAAAGAAAATGATATCTATCCGCCAAACAAGTAATGCGCTTAAATTCATATGACCAAGCTAACACACACACACACACACACACACACACATACGCATGTTATATTAAGCATTTAGTAGCGAGAGATAGGAATAACGAGGATTAAACTTGAACAACTCTTATTGTTGGCATGTCGTACAATATTGTTAAAGGATGGGTGGAATGTCCGTTTCAGTAGTCGGTCGTCAGAATGGCGGTCGGGTGTAAGGGTAGCACTGGGAGTTGACTTAATTCTTTTGTGTGTTTGGTATAGTCGCATGGTATAGTAGGTGCGTGATGCTTGATCGAGGTCGCGGTGGTAGACCGTTTTCGTCGGTTGGTAGGTTATGTCGGATTGACGTGGTTGGTAGGCCTCTTCTCTGGAACGCCCTTGCACGTATTGATGGGTAGGCGCCACGGTGGTGGATCGAGTGGGTTCCATGCTTGTAGAATCGCTGTTTTTTCCTTGTGGAAACGGAATCGCTTATTGCGGAGTCTGTCGCTTGTTTTGCGGAGTCGGAGTCGCTTGGTTGCGGAGTTGGATTTGACGAGATGAGGAGGAAGGTTTGAGAGCTTGGTTGTGCCGACGTGGAGATGTTATCAAATCGGTATTTGTATGGGGTGACAGAATCATTGGCGAAGAAAGGATTGTAGCTGGGTGGAGTCGAAGTTGAGATGATATATGACGCGGTGACAGCTACGTCAACAATGAAGGCTTGTAACTGGGTGTTGTCGAAAATGGATATTCGGGCGCTGGTGGCTGGTGTTTGCCGAGATGACGAGGTCAGGATGTTATGAACCCGAAACTGTGTACTCGAGGTGGCTATTCAAGCCTGGGAGTGATAACGGTCGTTGAGAGAATGCGGTTATGTTGAGAAGCGGCGGTGATGATCACGGCGGCGGCAACAGTAGCACCCTGCGTGACGGCCGGTGAACCCGGCAAAAATTGTATTTAGAATCACGGTCAAAAATATATATAATTTGTGTGAAGTAGCTTTGATTGGTGATGTGACGACAGATCTTTATTATTTTAGCTGTTGGTAGAATGAAATGAAAACAAATCGTGGTAGAAACTCATAGTTTAAATTTAACATAAGTTATATTCGAAAGGTTGATTTCAGTAAAGCTCTCAAATCTTATAATGCCCACCTTTTTGTCTTTTTTTATGAAAAGAGATTGTATTCTGTTTTTAAATCTAAATAAATCGTTCACTCGCTAGTAATTTACACTCGCCTGATGAGATGCATTTAATACGCGTCGAAACACGATGCAATTGTGTAGCGATTTTGACATGTTTTCCATGTAATATCCTAAAAGGAATAATATTGCTTTACTTTGTATTGAGCACTATTTTAGATTAAAGGTTACGAACGTTAGATTTGTACTCTATTTGTTCTCATCCTACCTACACACACACACACACACACACACACACACACACACACACACACACACACACATATATATATATATATATATATATCCTTCGTCGTCGGCATCCCTCCGTCTCGAGAGACGATGGATTAGCGCGGTGCGCTACGAGCCTGGGCGGGATATATGGAGAACTAGGGCTGCGCAGACGTCTATTTCTCCCTCTCGGCCTTGGTAGCAGAGTCCAAAGGAAAGGATAAACCAATACAATTTGGTACCAACGCGGCTGCAGGAAGGTAGCACAAAGTGCCGTCCATCCGCCTTAGGGGCTCAACTCCCGGGTTTGAATTCAGAGTTGTCCTTCTCCTAGACCAGTTGCCATCCAAGGCTATAGATACTGCCCTGCTATTTACCCATAGCTGGAGGGGAGGAGTAGGAAAGGTATGAATCTGCATCTTCCCTTCTGTCAGCTGTCTACAATTTGACTATATACACACACACACATATATATATATATATATATATATATATATATATATATATATATATATTGTATTTGCATTTAACTGAATATAATGAACCTTACTGGAATTGGAACTCAGTTCTCCGTTTTCCAATTCTGAGTCGTTATCCATTGGACTACCTGCACATCCTAGCTTACAGCCCTGGTATCCACAAGCAGTAACCCATATAGCTACTGACCAAAATCGACGTTGCTTACCTTCGGTGATTGTATGAGAACCGGTGTTTCAACGCTATATTGCTCTAAGTCCAAATCCATATATATATATATATATATATATATATATATATATATATATATATATATATATATATATATATATATATATATATATATATATATATATATATATATATGTTTGAGTGTGCGTGTATGTACACAGTGATGTCATAAGTTTAGTGCTTATACAACGTCATTTCGGAAACGATCAATGAGATTATTTCTTGTAGATCGATAATCAGTCATTCGCCAATCAATTGCCATTTTCTTTGTAGAAATATTTCATGACCGTCTTCAAAATCTAATAGACCTCACAGAATGCTTTATTCCTTAGTATCGAAACCACTGGGCTGTTAATGGCCTCTTGTAACATTTTGTGATGTCAATGAATACTCGTTGCCACTTTTGTAATGTCAACGAATACTCGGTGTCACTTTTGTAATGCCAATGAAAACGCGTTGTCACTATATATATGTTCCCTTTACCATTACGTGATCTACCAATTCAATTTGGTCTCTGGTGATCTGTGTTCAAAATCCAATTTTCAGCAGCGACACTTTATTCCTATATAAAATCCGCCCCCTATTAAATGACTTCCCTTGGAATCAATACTTCTTCAGCTTCGTTTCTATTGTTAGAAATTATTTTGGCATTCTATTTCTCTTGCCAACCCTTTGGTTCAAAAATTTCTGATGGTGTGAATACGTTAAACGTGTCATACAGAATTTCCATTGGTATCTCTTTTCGGGAACTTTTTATATCGGTGAAGTTACGTTTTAACTGATTATTGCGTAGCTTATGTTCCCACCTTTGTCTTTGTACCATGTATGTTATTTTGCCGATCCATTTTTTATAACGCCATCTTCCCAGAATTCCTTTTCTGCGCTGATATATCTTTAAAAAATACCTTATCTCCAGGTTTGACGTATCTACTTGTATTGTTATTTGTTGATGCTCTCGCCTTGCATTCTGGTAATAACTTAATCTTCTTGGCAAACATCAGCTCTGCAGGTAACGTTCCAGACAAGGTGTTTGGGTTCGGTTCTATTCTGTAAACACTGAGAAATTGCTGAATCGTTACTTCATCTGACTCCTCTCCCTCCGACTTTTCAGTGACCTTTTAAACGTAACTGACAAAATGTTCCGCTTGTCCATTTAATCTTGGATAATAAGGAGTTTTAATATGTTCTATTGCTGATCATTTGCAAAAAAAAAACCTTAAATTCACTAAACTTGAATTGAGTCTCGTTATCTGAAACGATAAAATCAAGAACACCGAACCTTGCAAAAATCACGTGTAGAAAATTTATCGTTACCGCGGTAGACGGTCTTCTACATTTTAATATTTCTGGCCATTTAGTGTAACTATCGACTACCACTAGATATAGTATAACGGTCCTGCGAAGTTTATATGTATTCTGGACATGACATATCGATTGTCGGCCAAGGTTGAATTTTGATAGGCGGTGACTTCACTGCCAGAGCACAACCTCTGCATGATTTTCACTAAATTTTTGATATCCTTTTGCATTTTGGCCAGTAAATATAACACCTCGTTATGTATTTTATTCTAGAAATTCCTGGATCTGCTCTGTGAAATTCTTTTAACATACGTCTTTGCAACGATGCTGGTATCACCATTCTCTCTGCGTACATAAATTCATTATTACATAATCAAAATGCATTATTATGAATATTTTTTTTTCCATTAGATCTTAATTTCTCCTTCATTTTCATTATAAAGTTGTCTTTTCTTCCTTAATTTTTATTTCCTCCAGTGTTATAGGCAGTTACAGTATTGTATAATATTATTAATTTGATTGTCGGCCTTCATCACCCCATTTACTGCGTCAACAAGTGGTCCACAGAATCTTGGTATTAGACTAGATAATCCGTCTGCATGACTTAATTTTTCGGATGGTAGAAATTCCATTTTATGATTATAATTCAATAGGATAGTTCCCCAGCACTGCAGTCTATTCGATGTATGTGAGGGAACAACCGTTTTTTGTTTATATATGGACAATAATGGACGATGGTCTGTCTGTAGTATGAATTCTCTACCATGTATAAATTTGTGAAAGTTTTTCTTATGATGGCCAATGATTCCTTTTCTATCTGGCTGCAATCAATGATCTTGAAAAGCATGAGCTATTGATTTAGTTGTTCTGTCCTTATATTTGTATAGTATCACTGCTTCAATAGCCGAATCATTTGCGTCTGATGCAACAACAATCTAGTGACAAATCCGATGTTAAGACTTTCTTGATCTCTTCGAAAGAACTTTGAGTTTATCTCTCCATTTCCCTTTCACATCTTTCGTCAGCGGGTTATTCAAGGATACTCTTAATTTGTCCATATTAGGTATGTATGTTTGATAGTAGTTACCAAACCCTAGAAATGCTTGTAACTTTTTTACATTTGTTGGATATGTCCTATATTTCGCTCGTCCTTTAAAAATTCAGTATTCTACTGTTTTCATGAATAATATGTACTAGATATTTAAGTTTGGACATAAATAATTCCCATTTTCCTTCACTGATCTTAAAACCATATTCATTGATTCTATCAAATACTTTCGTTACATCTTCTGCATGTTGCTTTCCGGTCTTACTTTTAATATGTACGTATTCCAAATATGCTTGAACACAATCCAAACAGGCAAGCATGGTATCCATTATGTGTTTGAATATGCTTGGTGCTGCCTTTATACCGAAAGGAAGTCGGTTGAATTTGTATAAACCTCTTATGAGTGTTTTTTCGACAAAATATAATTTGAATATTTTTCATGTTCTGCAGGGGACAATTTCCTTAATAATAACCGAACTTTCTTTTCATCATTCCATTGCGAACTATCCCTTTTGAAGATCCCTACGTATCTTATATAACATGCTGGAAAAGTTATGCCATCATCTGGATTGTACACAAATTCGCTGATTGAATTAGCAACAGCATCTAGAGTGAATGAATCTGAAGTTTGGCATTCCATCGTTTTTTTAAACAACTCAAAAAACCTCTGTCGTTGTAGTTGTAATTGTAATTGCTGTTCATGTTGTTGTGTCTGTTGCTGCAGTTGTTGGTCTTGTTGTAGGTTATTTGAACCTTGATAGCTTTTAATTCTTCCATTCTGCTGTACTCTGCTGATCATTTTGCACATTAATTTTTTTCTTCGTGTAAATTGAACGAATCCTCGTGTAAGTTCAAGGAATCCTCGTGTAAGTTCAAGGAATCCTCGTGTAAGTTCAAGGAATCCTCGTGTAAGTTCAAGGAATCCTTGTCGCCACTTTTGTGATGACAACGAACACTTGTTGCCACTTTTATAAGGTCAACGAATACACGTTGTCACTTTCGTTGCTCGTTGTAATAGAGGCTTTGTAATCGCAGATACAACTATAGTAACGCCGTTGAACAATACTGGTGTCAGACGCCTTCGAATAGCACTCGCACTGATAGTACTTGTTGCAATAGTAAACTCCGAATAGTAATCCGTATCGTTATCACTTAGACGCCACGCTAATTCCCTTATATACATTTCCTTTACCATCACGTGATCTACTTATTCAAATTGGAATCGCCTGTGTCTGCTCTCTGGTGACCTGTGTTCAAACTCCATTGTCGGCAAGACACTCTATTCTTATATAACATATTTTCTATTCATACGACACCGACTTTAAATCTGATCACAATTGTCCACTGTTATTTATTCAGAGATACTCACTAACTAATAAGAAGGAATGAATGTGTAATAAGCATTTGATTAAGGAGAACTGTCAATAAATTAGCAATAAGCGTTTTCATTACACCTACAGGATGATTATTATTGAATTTTTGTTCCACGATATGGGACTACTGAAGGCAGCAAAACTCTCCGAAGTATTCTTGCCCATTTCAATAATATTTTGTCAGAATAATTTCAGTTCAAATTCCAAGTGTTCCAGTAATCACAGAGACAACTGTCATTTCCGTTTCATAGAAAATTTTAACTTTTACTTCGTCTTTTATATTTATTCCTTCACCTCCATCTTTTTTATCTTTTCCATTTTTTTTCGTTTTCTTCCTCTTTCCTCATTATTTTTTTCTTCGATCTCTGCCTCCTTATTCATTCTATTTTCCTTGCCTTTCTTTTGTTAACGTTCCTCTCCTTCTTTGTATTATTATTACTGTTGTTGTTGTTTTTCCTTTTCCTCTTCTTTTTCTTCTTATCCATCATTTAACCTCTTTATATTCCTTTTCCTTTCTCTTACTTTTGCGCTTTGATGTTTTATTCATATCTTCTTTTCTGCCATTTTCTTTCTGTTACTCTGTCTTCTCGTTCTTTGCATCACCCTCCTTCGTTTTAACCGTTTACTTTGTCACCCTCTGTCTCATCATTTATATTTGCTCCTCCCACTACTTTTACCATCTTACTGGTATTACTTATTCTTCAACATTATTGATAGTTTTACTACATTTATCATCATGGGAATCATGAATTCTTTTTAGTGCCTCTCAGCCTGATTGATGATTTAACGTGATTAATGTCCTTGATTTGAATTTGTCTGCATAACCATCCGTTCTTTTGTCTTTGGGTTTGTTTTTTTGTGTGTGGTGGGGGACTGAGAATATGTTCATCTTTGCCACGATTTTCAGTCCTTTCTATCATTATTTTCATCATTTAAGTGGCCGTTGCATATTCTTCTTCTATTTAATTTCAGTTTATTTCACACCTTTGCCGCTACTATTTACAAAGCGACTAAATTTCAACAAGAGATACACATATTATTCTCCATGATTTTCTTTGGGATATGAACGCTTTGTCAGTGATTTACAAAAACAAAATCCACCCAAGACAATCGTTCATTCTATTCTGGGTCCCCCAGGTTGGCTTATAAATTGAGGACAGGGAAATTAAATTCTTGAAATTATCTTTCTTTACATTGGCGAAATTAGACAAAAAAATTGCAAATAGCGGAATTTTTAAAAGATATTAGGCGTCTAACGCAGTATCGAAACCCTCCCTGCGAATGTTTTCTTTCGGGGCGAAATATATGGATTCTACTAAGGCTAAAAATGATAAATGCTTATTTATGACCTGTAGGTAAAACAAAACTATTCACCTCCCGTATCTATTCGTAATAAGGATTTACACATTATGCTACAGGACGATGGCGATCATAACTCTCCACAAATAAATGCTGTCTCTTTGTTATTTCCCCTCAACCTTGTTGCGCCTTCCATTAACTGTAGAACGCTAGGTAGGTTATATTAGGTTGGTTGTATTACTCTGTCCCTCTTGCCTTCAATCTGGATATTAAATTTGTCAAGCTCTTTTTCCTCATTATCTGCCAGAGAAAATTTAATTCTCTTTTCCTGATGTTAAGTATAAGTATCTTTTTTGTTCCTGTTTGGCTTCGTCTTTGCTCACATGTTCAATCCATGGTATTCTGAGCATCCTTCTGCAGTACAACTTTTATGTTGTTTTAAGTCTGTTATTCCTATGTGAGGAGATCGTCCAGTGTTCATTGCCGTGTAGGAGGACAACATAACAGTGCAGTAGATCTTTCTTTCTTACTTTCTTACAATATTGTTTCTGTTACATATTACATTGCTTAACTTCTGGAAGGCATCTTTCGTTGTCCCAATGTATCTTATGATTTCGGTTTCGCATTATTTCAGTTTTTGTACTCGTTTGATTTCGCTATCTCCAATTTCTAATTTGCATGTTAAGCTGTTCCTTTTGCTAACAATTATGAATTTTGTCTGTTGCAAAATCCAGATTTAGTCCTTTCTTCGGGCTTTCTTTGACTAGCTTCTATAAGAGTATCAGCACTATGCCATCTGCATATCTTATTTTATTAACATTGTGGCTGCCAATAATAAATCCTGGTAGGACTTCTAATTCTCTCTAATTCGCCACATTGTATCGCTTGAATAAGTCTGGTGAGAAGGCTCATCTCTGTCTTACAGCGTTTCTATTTTTTGCATAATTACAGTCTGTGTGCAGTCCGATTGCAGCCAGTATAGGTTCTGGATTATTTCAGAGTCTGTCTATATTTCTGAGATGAGGTATTATGAACATTATTTACATTATTCGGACTATTGTCCTCATCTTTGTCGCCATATTTATCACATCGTTTCGGCCGTTGTAATCTCCGGCCTTCTTCGGGTGGTTGGAATGTCGAACTGAACACTTTGTAGTTTGGCATTCCAACCACCTGTAAAAGGCCGGAGCGTACAACGGCTGAAACGTTGTGATAAATATGGCGACAAAGATGAGGACAATAGTCCGAATAATGGATTATTTCAATATGATCAAAATATAAGAAGAAGCAAAATTTAAATAGACAAATAGATCCAATGTGCACGCTGATTCCCGCCCAGCAAGAAATGTATGTGTATCTGTGTCTTTTATCAGAATTCACATTCTTTGGTGTTTTTTGTTTTTTTTTGTTTTTTTGTCTGGGTTTGAAAACCAAGTAGATGGACTAATTCTTCCGTCTTACTATCTACTAACAACTTTCGTTGATTGGCTGCACTGTTTCTGTTGCAATGTCTGAACATCATGCTTATAGCAATAGTGCTATTAGTAACCGCCTGGGCCACAAATTAAAACTAGTAGTTTCCTGATCTAGCTTTGAGGGCTGCTCTCTCTATTTATGTACAAAACACTTCTTTAGTAATGTCAGGCTGTTAAACATACATGAAAATTAAATAAATAAAATTGCCTATAAAAGATTTAGATTTCGGCCTTAAATAACGGATAGAGGTGTTGATATGCCACTAAATAAAAACAGCTAATCTAATGGAATTATGGCGGCGCTGCTGTAGCGTTGGAATTCGACAGACCAAATTTCGGGGAGCGTGCGGTTTGATCCTTGTACAAAAGCTTTGTTCTATATTCATTTCACTAGCTATACTGTTTAATCTGGTATTAGTCAGTGTGAGCAAAAAAGTGCCTTTTTCCTCGCAGGCAGTGTTTTAAGAATACCTACTTTTATACAACGGTTTGGTGTACTGAACGATACCCAGGATAGTTTTCCTTTCTTACAAGAGTCATTTACAATTTACGCATCTTACCTTGTAATATCTCGAGGTACCACGTTTACGCGTCTATGAGTTTCATAATTAGAAGAGGCAGAGAACAGCAATGAATTAACTCGTCTGCAGCTAATTACTGTGTGGCAGAAGTTTAGAAAATGTTATACCCAACCTCCATTACGCCGAGCAGTATACGAATAAACATCGAAGAATTATTCTATAAATCATTTCATTGATTTGTTCTCTTTGTTCATACGAAGTTCGTCTCCATTCTGATATTTTCCTTTTTGCTTTCTTGTCTTTTCGCTATAATTGAGTTCCGTTATTTCCTAACCAACCACCACACCCACCACTAACCTTCACTAGAATTATAATTACTTCCTTTGAATCTACAGCCTTCAGTTCTTTTTTACCCTCTTTCGTTGTTTCAATTAACTTTTTCTTACTACAGCAGCGTTTTAGATAAATCTCGCCGATATTTGCCCGCCGAAGAACAAGCTCGGGCAAAATGGTTGTCTTTTATTGTTTTAAGTTTTTGCTGAGAAAAGCTGGCCAATAAAATAATTTCAGAAATTACTTAATTGCCGCTACGCACAAAGAATCGATTTTAAAATTATTTAGCATTCATGATGGACGCAATTCATAAATAATAATAATAATAATAATAATAATAATAATCTGCAACTTCTACAGGAAGGAATCTAAAAGAAATTAGTAAGAACACCACCCAGACCCGGTTACGGAGATAGGACCTGTTACAATTTTATGGGATTACACAACACACACAGACAGAACAAGCAAATCTAACCGCCCAGACATTGTTATTAGAGATTACAAACAAAAAAATGCCTCCTTATTGACATGGCAATCCTTGTAGACTGCAATGTATCTTTGAAGATATTCAAAAAGCTGTCAAAATATAAGGACCTTGAAATCGAAATCTCAAAAATGTGGAACATGGGAACATCAACAATCCCAGTTGTAGCTGGAGGCCTCGGATTGGTTTGAAAATATTCCAATAGACTCTTTGAAGAGATTCCTAAAATTTGATGCCTTAAAGAAATACAAAAAAAATTATTCTCACGAGTATGTGTGTTGTTGTTTTTTTGTTTTGTTTTTTTAATTGGTCTCCGTCAAAGAAGACACAAATCGACTAAGGCTTTCGGGTTTCGATTTCAACTTGAAGCAATCTCATATCTAGTCACAATGATGAGCTGTGTTACAGCGAAACAGTCTGTCTGTGGATGACTACCTATATATATATATATATATATATATATATATATATATATATATATATATAGGCTGGTAGACATTAATTTGTTTCAAAACAAATTGGGATGTTTGCCCAAGCACGTGTATCTGTTAAAAATAACGTTCATATATATATATATATATATATATATATATATATATATATATATATGTATGTATGTATTTATGTATATAAATGATGAAATTCAGTCTTAAGATATGCTATATTTATGGGATAAAGTGCTCGATATCAGAGATAGAGCGTGTGTAAATATAACAGTGCATTGAAGTCAAAAACTTAGAGGGCGACAGTCCGTTTCATGCAAGATGCAATTGTAAGGCCTGACGATTGCATCTTGCATGAAACAGACTGTCGCCTCTGAGTGTTGACTTCAATGTTCACTTCATATATATATATATATATATATATATATATATATATATATATATATATTAATAATTATACATATTATTGTACATGAAACTTTGAGTCGTGTCGTGCTAGGATAATATGTATATTTATTAATATATATATTAGCTCTGTTTTATTACATCGAGCACGTTTTATTAACCCCAGTACTATATTATGTGCGATATATTATAATTATATTGTAAATATATATTTTAAGATATATTTACTCAAGCTCACTAGGTAGGTGGTGTATTTTATTCCTCTGTCCCTTTTGCTTTCAATTTGTCCTGTGGGTATCACATTTTCCAAGCCCCCCTTCCTGATGTGCGCTAGAAATTTTAACTGTTTCTTCCTGCTATTAAGTATAAGTTTCCTTTTCGTTTCCAGTTTTTTGAAAACTTCGTCGTCGTCCACATGTTCAGTTTATGACATTCTCAGCATCTTTCTGTAGAACCACATTTCTGTTGCTTCAAATCTTTTCTTCGTCTTTGAGAAGACTGTCCAGCATTCACTGCAATAGATGTGGATTGATATTACGTAACAGTTCAGGCTTCTTTTCATTGTTTCTTAATACCTTACTTAACTTTTGGAAAGCATTCTTCCCTATGTCAGTGCACCTTCGGATTATGTCTTCTTTGAGAACACTTCCCAGGTATTGCTTGATTTAGTTATCTCCACTTTGTAATTTGTATGTTGGGTTGTCTATTTAGCTAACAATCATGCATTCTGTCGTCGTGCAGCGCAAATTCAAATTTTACTTGATCTGGGATCCTAATTCCAAACGAAAA